AGGGGGAAAATAAATGGAGGCCCTGAGGCCACACGGCTTGTCCTGAGCTAGAAGTCAAGCAGCCGCGTCCCCAATCAGCTCCAGGCTGACCTGGCCTCAGGCCACAGTCCTACCCTCCGGCTTCAGTGCTGTCCCCTGGGGCAGGGGTGTGGACCTGCCCCTCGTGAAATTCTGAGTGAGGAGACACAACTGTTATTTTTGACGTTTCCTTATTTTATACTCTCAAGTGTTGTAAGTGCAGGCACTCATGGCCTCTGGATACTTAGAAAGGGGATTATTACTTTGAAAGTTCCCCAGCCATCAGTCCCTCTGGGGAGCCCTGCCATACCCTTCCTTCCTCACTTATCTGGTAAGACCCACTTCAGCACATCCTCGCAACACACACACACACACACACACACACAGCCCTCCAGGGAGCCTCCCCTGGTGCAGCCCGGGCCCCCTCTGCACGTCACAGTGGTGCTCAGGCAGCATGCTTAAGTGGGCAGACACAAGGTGGCACGTGGCCATTTCCCGTGCTGTTTCCTGGTGCAGGCCACTGCTCCATCTGACCTCACAAACAAGGCTTCCAGCTTCTTGAGCACAGAGAGGAAGCTGCGAAGCCGGGAAGCTGTTGTATTAGCTACTCGGTCTGCCTCTGGCACGGTCCGCTTCAGCAAACTCTCCCATGAGTATGTCTGGTTGGCAGGACCTAAAATCACACCCTGAACCTCGTTGCAAAGGGGTCTGGGAATTGCAGTGTTTCTTTGTCCAAGCTGTACCCACTCTGTTCAGCTCTAGGTAGACATATGCTCAGTCAGTACCCGGTATCTATATCATCACAGGAGAAAAGTAAGTCCCATCCGTATTTGACTCCATTCATGCCAAGTTCCCCAGCCTAAAAAGCCACATGGAAGGGCCATTAGTGATGTTCTGAGACGCTGCAGAATGTGGCTCAGACAATGAAGGTCCTTGTGCAAATCTCACATGCCTTCGGCTTCAGGCGACCTTGGTCATTAAGAAGGCAGGAACTCAGTCTCCCAGACTTTCTTTCCTTTACACCCACTCAGGGGACTCAACTATTGGAAGAACTTTAGTCATGATAGTATTTTGGTCACGATAGTCTAGGTTATGCTGCGGGATCAATAGCCCACAGCCATCAGGGGTTTAGCATTAACACGACCAGGGCTGACACCTGGTTCCTGCCACCCGTCCACTGTGGCCTGGATTTCAGAGTGCCCCAGGGCCTTGGGGTGACCACGGCTCTACCTTTACACCTGCTCCCAAATGCATTCTTGGTGAGGCAGGAAAAACAGAGTGTGGCAAACCACACACTTGTTTCTGGCAAGGAAAGGACGAAAGGACTTGCTGACACTCATGTTTCACTAACCAAAGTGAGTCCCCCAGCTCGCCTAGAGTCAAGGGGGCAGAATTGTAGTCATCCCTGTGCTGAAGGGACCAGAGAACCAAAGTGCGGTGAACAGCACTGATTACCTCTGCTGGGAGGTGGAAGGGAGAGCCATGCCCCCTACACCGTCCCCCCTGCACCATGCCCCTTACACCGTCCTGGTTTCCTGTCACTCCAGCTGGGGCCACTCAACATTCCCCCATTACCATTTTCCTTCAGGCCCTGACAAGTACAGCTTTAAAGATATGCTACCATTTTTACTTGAAAATGGCCTGTGAAAAACCAGGCACGGTCCCCAGAGGCAAAATTCTCCTCATGCTTTTCCTCAAATACATCTGTGGTTCTCGGTCTGTCATGACTCTGTGGGCTGGGAATGCGCATGTTTACTTTTGTAGAGAAGCCCTGCTTATCTTTCTTGAATTAGGGAGAGAGGGTGATTGGCACAGGAGGCGTGACCCAGATGGTTTCTCGGGTTCAGCCCAGGTTTGCGCTGACCACCTTCTCCCCAGCTGGAAGCCATCTGCTCTCCAGAGTCCCTACTTTGCCTGTGCCCCCCACCCCCCGATCCTGGCCCAGTCCCTCATTGCATGATCAACCTTTGTATAAATGCCTCACTTCCCCCACTAGCTCTCTGAGAGCCAGAACTTGATTTGATCCATCTAGAATTGTGCCTGCTACACAGATGGCATTTACTAAGTATTTTTGAGTAGGTCAAAGAATGAATCTCTGTCTTTACCTTAGGGCCTTTCCCGAAGGAGTATCTCAGTGTCTTCTGAGTAAAAGGGTGGATGGATGGATGGATGGATGGATGGATGGATGGATGGATGGACAAATGAAAGAATAAAGGATTGAATACATATAGAGTCAGTTAACCTCTCCTAGGGAAAAGAAGCAAGCCTCGTCTCCCCAGATAGCCCCCCAGATAGCTCTGCTGATTCCACCCAGTGCAGAAATACAGGCTCTTGGAACAGAGGGGACAGATGGAAGTGGGGTGACACAAGGCAACTTCTCACCGCTCTGCCAACTGAGGCCCAGGCCCTGCCGTGGCCAGCCGTGTCCCACCTGTACCTGTATACAACTAGACTTTGGTCATGATTTAACTCTAAGGCACCAGGGGCAAAATTTGCCGGGGCAGGGGTGTAGGGTGTTGCTCTTCTTACCTGATGGTTTCTGGGGCCCAAACTGAGTAGTGTGGGGGAAGGAGCCATAGGACAGTGGAGTCTCTAGGGATTCTTACCTGTGAAACCGCCCTGCTGGGTCCCTGCTTTCTACACTAAATGTGTTCCAGGCAGAGGCAGGATCGACTCCCAGGCCCCCAAAGCCCGTAAGAGGTCGGGAGGCTGAGGTAGCAAGAGCTGGAGGGACAGCCCCAGAGAAAGTGTCCCTCCATGGTTCCCTCACCCGTTGAGAGGAGCCTCAAACCCCACTTCCTCTTCCTTAGGCAATGGGAAAATTGCCAACACATATTCCCGTGCCTTGCAGATCTCTCCGGGCTGGAGTCTTGAAGGGGGAGGGAAGAGAGGCAGGGGCATGTAGGGCAGGAAGGTGTGCATGTGTCCAGGTGGTGGTGGTGTGAGGGCACCCAACGGACACCCCTTTCCTCTACACTAAAAAGACAGCAACTTCCCCTGTCTGCTGTCTCCTTCATCTCAAAGAATGGCATAGAGCTGAGAAATGGTCCCTCTGCTAGACTTAGCACTCAGCTTAGGGGACGTCAGACCTTTTTGCCTTGATCTTCCCTTGCCCCTTCATTTCATGACAAAGAGAACCCTGTGGGTGCAGAAGCAAGCCCAGAGGTTTGGGGACCCTCTCCACTCCAGAGTGGTAGGAAGTGGTGGGTTCCATGAGGTCAGCCCGGAGAGCTCCTTGGCCTGGAGGCATCAGGCCAATGGGATGCTGTGTATGGATGCTGGCTGTAGGCAGCCCGATCCTTCAAAGATGTCACCAAGAGCCCCAAGTGAGAACCCAGCCTCCTTTCCTTGGCCCCCCTCAGCCTCCTTTGGAATGATGCTCTGTGGCCAAGCAGGTACCAAAGGATAAATGTGCTGTATTAACATGAATCCTAATGACAAATGCACTGCAGTAGTAAGCACATCATAGGTACATAGAATATTCTCTATATAGTCCGAACATAGATATAAAATAAGTTATACTTGTTTCTATTTTCCATCACAGTAGGAGTACAGCATACAAAGTGATTGGTTCAGTGGCCACAAAGCAAGCCAAGGGAGAGACCATGAAGGAGGGCATAGGGCACCGAGAATGGCTGGGGTATGCCAAGGATGCTGCTGAGTCGCCGGGGCTCCTGCCAGGGACCAGACCTCAGACCCCTCACGCTAGCCTTCTGAGAATTGGCATGAGGTCCCATGCGATGAGAGCCAGTGGCTGCATTTGAGCTGGGATGATTCAGGTGCCAAGAGCCTCTAGGAGGCCAGCCCGCTCTCCCGGTGGCACTGTCGGACCTCTGTGATTTTAGGACCGTGGGCTGCGTAGCCAGATGGCATGGTTTGCTTCTGTGATGGGACAGATGGCCAGACTGATGGTGCACCAAGTGCCGGCTGGCCCTCCTCCCTCAGCAGCCCGCCCCGGGAGGCTGAGGTGTGCCCCGCATGCTCGGCTTGTTCCCTGTGGTGCGGTGGCAGCTAGCAATGCTGGGATCCTGCACGCGTGGCCACAGCAGAAGGAAGGGTCTGAGGTCCTGGCTCAGAATCCTCTGTCTACTGCATGTGACCTCTGTGACTTTGGGAAGGTCATCTCAACTCCTCTGAGTCTCAAGCTCCTTATCTGCAAAGTAGGGGGGACTGAGGCTTACCTCCTAGGGGGGTGGTGAGGGCCAAATGGGATAATGTATGTGAAGTGCCCCCCACAGCTCCCAGCACATAAGAGGGGCTGGATCAATGGCGGAAGGGTCTGAGCATCAGGGCTGGGTGGGAAAAACACGAACCTCACAAAATCTGTGGAACAAAGCCACTTGGACTGGCTTTTTGAGTTGAGGATTTCGGGCAATTTCTTTGCCTTCTTTCCTGCCAATTTGTTCTTTTCTCTCTGGGTCTGGGATTCTTTGACATGAAGTAGGGGTAGCGTTCAAGGACTGGTCTGCGCTGGGAGACGGAGTCTGAGCCTGGGGAAGCACAGAGCTCAGGGTCATGTCTCTTCAAGTCCGGGACCCGGCCGAGATGCTTCCTTCTACATCTACTTCCTTCCCCCTCCCCTGCCCCCTGCAGCAGCCCCTTTCCTTGCATCTCTCAGCCCTGGAGCACTGCTTCCCATGGGGAAGCCAAAGAGGGGGAGACAGCACCGAAAACAATGCAGTGCCGATTAAGCAAGAAGCCTTTTCCATCTGCTCCGAGCCTGGGAATGTGGAGGCGGGTGGGCCACCCGTGGGCGAGCGAACTGCCTCTGTGGGAGAAGGCAGGTCTCTGGGTGGTGGGAGATGGGAGGGAAAGAGGCATGGAGATCTGGGCTTGAACCGGAGGCCTTGGGAGCACTCCTGTGCTTCTACCAATGCCGAGAACTTGGAGATGTGTCCGAAGACCAGCCCGGAAGCCTGGGGGTCCCTGCGCCTCTCAGCTGCAGTGCAGTTCTCAAGATCTGCGTGTGCGAGTGTGTGTGCGTGTGTGTGTGTGTGTGTGTCTGTATGTGCGTCTCCTCCTCTCCCATCTCCTCGAACCCCTGCCTGCCCTGAACCTCCTCCGTCCATCACTCAGCCACTTTCCTCTTGGATGGGGGCAGCAGGTGGGCGGGCAGCTCGTTGGGCAGCTCATGCCCCTCCAGCTTGACCTTGATGAGGTGGTTGGCCAGTGCAAACTCCTCGTCATCCAGCATGCCATCCTTGTCAATGTCAGCCAGCTTCCAGATCTTGCCCAGCACGCTGTTGGGCAGCTTGGAACGCACCATCTCCTTTTTGGCATTGGCACCTGTGATCTTGCCATCCACCGGAGACAGGGTGTAGAAGATCTCGTCGTACATGGGCTTGTCCCTGGCCACCACCCACTCGGCGTCATCGATGCCCTCCCCGGCGCCCTCCCCGTAGCCATGCCCGAAGGGGCCATGCAGGGTGCCCTCGAACGCTCCACCCTTCACCATCTGGACGGGCCGCTGCGTCTCCTCCTGCCGCACCAGCACCATGAGCTGGGCGATGTCGTGGGCCAGCATGTCATCCACCACCTCCAGCAGCTTGCTTTTCAGGGGCTGGAATTTGCTAAAGTCCTGGGCCTGCAGCTGGTCCTGGGGAGAGGGAGAGAAAAGAAAGCGGGGGTAGAAGACCAGGGAAGGAGAGCTTTCCCCTTGCTGGGGATGCTGCCTTCTGCGAATGCTGGAATGTTCCCAGCTCTGGAGGCTAATAAGCTGATCACAAAATAATGAAGTACTGGAAGTTGTGAGAGAGGAGGAGGAAAAAAGGCACACTGGCTCTGGGTGGAATTTTGCAGGAGAGAACGGGTGCAGGGGCTGGGGAAGAAAAGGAAATTGAACAAATACTGGTTTGCTCCATTTATCTGGATTCCCTTTAATGCTCTAGAAAACAATTAAATGTCTCTTTTGCTAGTTTTAGCTACTGAAGGGTGGTTCCTGAATGCTTTGTTCTCTGAGACCAGGGCGTGTGTGCGTCTCTTTGCTTTATCCGGGGTTGTTCCTGGGCACAGGAGAAGGCTCAGGGATAAGCACATCGAGTTCACAGCAGAAAAATTCAGAAAACACCCACAGCTGCATTTCAAGAGCGAGTGTTAGCTTGTGCATTTCTCACCACCCTTCCAAGGCAGGGCCGATCCTGGGAGGGGAGTGGGGGCTGGAGGGCGGGGGTGTGCAGGGCAGGAGCAGAAAGACCTTCCTCCTGCCCCCCGGGCATAACCCCCCAAGGTCCCAGCCCATCCACAGCTAGGTGTGTTTGATGGGCTCCCAAACAGGCATCCTAATGTCTTCCAGGGGGCGCAGTGGGTAACCCCATCACCCCACACATGCCCCGCCAGGACGGCCATTTACGTGACTGGTTCAGCGTCCCTAACAACAGATCCTAATGTGGGACTGGCAAACGGATGAGAAGGTGAAATCATTTATAATGCGAAAGGATTCCTCACATTAGAAATGGGGTCGGATGGGCCCTTTCAAATGTTATCTTTCCAAATGCTGGCTTGCAGATGGTGACACTCTTAACAGAAAGAGAGGCTAAAAGTGGGAAATACTGTAAGCCACAGCTGAGGGCAAACCTGAATTATGTTAAAGTGATTCTGAAATCAGTAACTGGCTCCTGGTAAGTGGTTACGGGAATGAATGGATACATGGACAAATGTGTACTTTGAATGTCTATTTGTTTTCTCTTTCTTTTAGCACATAGGAAACTAAAAATGGCAATTTGCAAATATACTGACGTTCTGAACCCCCAGTCTTACACTGAGAAACGAGTTCCCAAGCCCAAGATCAAAATCAGCAACAGGAGCACAAACAATACTACTACTACATCTATTGCTATTCTTAAAAAATGCCCTGCTTCTTAGAAACCTTTTCTTTTTAAATACTTATAGATCCATGAGATGTTGCAAAGATTGTGCACACAGGTAGGTCCCTGGTGTTCATCAGTCAGCTTCCCCCAGGGGTGCTGCCTTACCTAACTGGACACTGCATTTTAAGAGCACAGTCTGTGCCAGGCTCTGTGCTAAGCACCTTGCAAACATTATCGCACGGATGTTCATAACATCTATAAAGCTGGGTGCTTCTGGAGCCTCAGACTACAGAAGAAGAGACAGAGGTTCAGAGAGGATCCAGTTAGTATGGTGTGGTGGTTTCCTGTTTGGACCGTGGGGACAGCTCCTGGATCTTCTACTAGCAGCCTGTGTGAACACCCGTCTCAGAAAACTGCCAGCAATTAGTTACAAAGGTTAATTACCTTTGTAAACCTCAGTTTGCTCATCTGTAAAAGGAGGATGGAAAGGTCTCCCGCAGAGGACTGCTTTGGGGAATAACATGAGAAACCAGGTGTTACGGCCCCTGGCCCAAGACAGAGGCCCACGGTATACCCCTAAGATGGAAAGCTCCTGTGCAGACTTCTGCTTCTCCATGGCTTGTGTCCCAAATTGCTCCCAAGTAGGAGCTCAGGGGTAAAAGTAAGCACTTGAGGGTCTGGAGACCCTCCCATTTCACATGGCCTCCTGGGGACTCCAAGCATGTGGTGGCCATGATGGCGGGGGAGGTCCTACACTAGAGGTATCAGGCCCCAAACATCATGGATCCCCCTGTCTCACTGGGAGCACTGGGGCTTTGTGTTCTCCCCGGGCCCAGATACAACACCTGCTGGGATACTGGCAGTCCAGCAGGGAGGGCAGACCTGGGGCCATCTCCTTGCCTTCAAATCTGGGTCAGCTTCTATCTGGGGCATCCAAGACCGGCCTTCTCCACTGTCAGGCCGCTCAACCAGCTCGCATGACATTGTCCCTTGCCCTGGAGCCCCAGAAGCCCAGTTACCTGCATCCTCTTCAGGTTGGGAAAGTCCCCAGGGGAGATCTGGTGCTCCCGCTCGATGCGGCCATAAATCTCAGCCAGGTTGTTCACCAGCTCCTTCTTCTTATTCTCCTTTCCGAACACCGATGGCATCTCCTTCTTCAGGGAGCTGATGATGTACGCGTGAACCTGACACACAGGGGCAGAGAGAAAACCTCGGATCCATTCCTTCCCTCCAGGGTGTGGCTCTCACCCATGTCTTCCCACAAATCCCTCCTGCCGCTACTTCGGCAATCATTCCTATTTCACCCCCTCGCCCTCGCTCGTCACTTCCAGCGGGGAGCTGCTTTCCTAGATCACAAGGGAAGAGCGAGATTACGGGGAGGTTGAGGTCAAGGCAGTACTAGGGATGGTAATACTGCTGATGGGGTTGGTGAGGAGGAAGATGGCGACGATCGCTAATACTTCCAGAGCACTCTGAGGAGGCCAGGCACTGAGTGCCTTCTTTTACTTTGTCCTCCCACCCTTTCATTGTAGAGCCATGGAGACAGGCACAGAGAGACCTCCCAGGGCTGGGACCCACAGTTTGAGAACCGTGCAGGAGGGCTCCAACCTGGCCACCTGACACCAGGGCCTGTGACCGTAACCACCAGGCTATCCTGCCCCCGGCTGCCCGAGTGGGCACAGCTGGTGGTGCCCACGAAGCAGGGGCTCGAGGACGTTGTCAGGAGGGCAGGCGACGGCTCAGGGTTGCGGGTGGCGACCCTCCACTCTCGCGCAGCTGGCCCTCCCACCCCCGACCCGCACATCTCCCGGGGGGGACAGCCTCACCTTGGCCAGCCTGGCTCTCTTGATGAGGTCGTTGAGCTTGCGCAGGGCAGCATTTCGGGGCAGACTCTGAATATCTCTGAACAGGTCCTGCTCCTCGGCCTCGAAGAGCTTCCGGTTGTCGGGGATGAGAAGGGGGTGGGACCAGAAGGAGCCGATGTAGACCCGGATCACCTCCGGGGTGTTCACGATCTTGCCCAGGGACCACATGAGGGCCCCGTACACCCGCATCAGCTGCTGCGTCTCGATCTGGTCCGCCTTGTTCAGCACCACCCGCATCTTGTCCTCGTGGTTCTTGAGGGCCTTGATGACCTCAGAGAACTCGTCCGAGATGTCCAGCTTGTGGGCATCGAAGAGCAGGATGATGCGGTCCACCCGCTCGGCGAACCACTCCAGGACGGCCGCGAAGTCGTACCCTGTGGCAGAGGGACGGTCAGGAGCGGGGCCGGGGGGCGCCTCGGGGCACAGGGAGGGGTTTGGGCAGAGGCAACCAGGCGCCGTGCACAGAACACGGTCTTGGGGAGTCAGAGCTGGGTTCCAATGCCTGCGCCTCCACATGCTCGCTATTTGACCTTGAACATGTTACTCAGTGTCTCCGAGCCAGTGTTCCCTCACCTATAGACGGGCACACCAATAGCGCCTAATTCATGGAATTCTAAGGACCAGATATACTCGGAGCCCAGCACGTAACATCATTATTCCCATGCAGTCTTCTTCTTCAGGTGGTGGGGCCCTCACCATTCAGGGACGGGGCTCAGGAAAGTGCTTCGGGGCCAGGCTGTGCCCAGCAACAAGGTAGGGGCTCAGTCAGTGCCACTGAGAGACTGTGGCGCCGTGACTCAGCCAAGACCCCCCTGCTTGTAGGAGGCAGCCGCTGGGGCACGGCACCCAGCTCTCCAACCCCAAGTTCAGTGCTTGCTCCGGCTGGCAAGACGTTCACCCCCACAGCCCCCTGTGAGATAGGCAGGGTGAGGAGTTCCACTCCCACTTCCCAGAGGAGGAAACAGCTTCAGAGATGAGGTAACAGTCAAATAGCCACTGAGGGGCAGGGGCCAGGACTGGATGGGGCCACCTGGGCCCTGGGCTCCCTGCAGGCCAGTGGGCAGCTGTCTTGCACCTGGCCACCTCCCTGCCCTGCCCTCCCCTCCCCTCAGCCCAGGCCCAGCTAGCCTCTCCCACAGAATCCAGGAGGTCTGTGCCTTCCTGCTTCAGGTGAGCCTGCAGCCTGCACCTCCTACCCTGCTCCCCCCTGCCCCTCCCTCCCAGGCCTGGCTATTTTACTCTTCCCTTCAGCCCAGCCAGGTGGAGGGCTGCTCTCACCTCCCAAAGGCAGTCCCTCAGAGCTGTGGGCAGGAGGGGGGCCAGAGGGCTCAGAGACCCAGGACAGCCCCATTCCCTTGCCCCAAGCCCCACGCTGGGAAGCAGGCCACAGCTTCGCGGCTCTGGAGCCCAGACCCAGCAGGCCTGCCCTCCTTGGTAGCTGGGGAGGGCAGCAGGGCTCATTCCCCAGTCTGGCGTGACAGGACTGTGGCTGTGGTGTGCAGGCAGCAGGCGGGGCGGCCCCGAGAGCATGCTGCTGCCCCTGTAGGCAGCCCAGAACAGCCCCTCCTAACTGGCTGGGCGGCCAGCGCCTGGCACTTTACCGACAAGGAAGGGGAGGCTCAGAGAGTGCACACGGCCGTGTGGTGGGAGGGGGCAGAACCAGGATCAGAGCTCATGTCCCCCCCATCCCGAGTCAGGCCCTCTTACCACCCCTCCACAGGCTCAGGAAAGCAAAGAGGCCAGAGGAGCTGGGGAGAAAAGAGGCTCCCCCCAACCCCAACTCTCTCCACTCCCTGATGGCACCAGCCATGCAAGAAGGGGCTCAGCCGCCAAGGCTTGAGGGGGAGTAGGGGCAATTCGGGGTGGGAGGGGCAAAAGCAACACCGCCCCCTGCCCTTTCCTGTCCCCTTGGCTGGGGGAGGTGCCCCCTCAGTGTTCTCAGGTTGTGCTCTGAAGGGGTCACCTGAGGAGCACTGGCCTGGGAAGCCCACTTCGGGGTTCTGGTCAGCCGTTAACTAGCTGTGTGTTCTTGGGCAAATAGCCTTCTGTCTCTGGTCCCTGGTCTCTTTGCCTGTCAAAGTAGGGGGGTTGGACTGGAAGATCTCTGAGCATCTCTTCTCCCTGCTTCTAAGACTAGAGGTGGAGGGCGGAGAGCACAGCAGGATGGAAGTTGGGGACACACAAGGAAGCCGTTGCAGGACAGGGAGAAAGGAGGCTGGGGGGGGTGCTCTGTCTTCAACACCTTGGGGTGCCTGTGTGAAGTCTGCTCTGGGGACTGAGGACAGGCGGACAATTCTGGGAAGCTTTTCGGGGATTTTATAAGCCCAGAGGCCTCCCATTCACCTTCCCGCTTTCGTGAATTCTGCATGCTCTGACGGGTGTTATCAAATCACAAAGTTAGCAGCACCAGGCGCCTTCTCCCCAGGTTTGGCTGTGAGGAACCTGAGGATCCAGCAGTGAGGGCATGGGCTTCCTGTGGAGATCAGCCTCCTGCGCCCAGCTGTTCAGAACCTAGCAGACTCCAGGACGGGTCACTGTCTTGGGACTGGGGTTATGCACAACCAGGAATGGGAGCATCTGAAAGGCACGGGCTGGAAAGGGCATGGGACTAGGTCTCTCATTTACTCTCTGTGTGGCCTTAGCAAATCTGAACCTCGGTTTTCTCAGCTGTAAAATGGGGAGAATAACACCTGACCAACAAGGGGTCAGTGGTAGAGCCCATGGCAATAGGATCTAAGAGTGGAGGGAGGGCTTGGATCAGTCTGGAGGCTCTGCCCTAACTTCCAGGGCGACAGGCCCCCTTCCCTGACGTGGTTTCTGGAATGGCTCTGAGACCCCCCCAGCAGGAGCTCCTGAGCACCTGCAGCAGCGCAAGGGCCCATGACATATGGACTCGTAGCTGGAGGGAGACTGAAGCCCTAAGAGAGTGGGCGGCGAAGCCGGCCGTCCCGGAACCCCTGGGCTATGGGTAGCCAGTCTGCTGGCGCCCAGAGATCTGATCTGTGGGCATCAGGCCCAGAGACCAGGCAGCCTGCGGGATCTGAGGCTCTCCCCACTAATCCCCAGGCTCCAGAGGATGGGAAAGAAAGCACTTCTAAGTAATGCCAGGCAGGAGGAAATCATTGAGACAAGCACAATAAGCAAGGCAACTCCTTAATCACCCACTGGCTTCCTGCAGTCTGCAGTGAAATACAAGAGAGCTGACAGCACATTTCTTTGTATGTTCAGCCACACCATCCATTTGAGCCTCCTAAGTGTCCGCATGCCAGGAGGTACACAGGGCACACACATCTTACAGGGCAGGGAGGGGACAGAGAGCTTAGGGGCTGGCCAAGCTCACACGGGCGGGACTGGAACCCAGACCCTTGCCTCCTGTCCACACTCCCTTCTTATTAGGCAGAGCCACGCGTGAGGCTGGAGCTCAGAGGACTGAGCGCATGAAAGGTCCCATTTCATCCCCAAAGATCTCTTTTGAGATTTAAAGACATCTTAGCAAAAAAATAAGAGTGCTTCAATTTTCAAAATGTGGGAAGGATTCAGATGACAAGGAGGAACAGATGTCACACTGTGTGCCTCCTAGAGGTAACCTTTAAAGTGGCCGGACAGATGCCTCACAGGCCTCCAAGGACCACTAGGCTGCTGGCAAGCCCTTGTGACAGGTGTCAGGACTCGGCTGCTCCGCCCCGGCGCGTGATGCCCACACAGCCACATGTGGACAGTGTAACTCTGGGGCCCAGATGTCCCTAAGTGCGGGCCCCACTCCAGTCAGAGTCCAGGGACGGGCCAGGGACATGAGGCTGTAAGGACTAGCCCAGACCCTCCGAGGTTCCCCCAGGGTAACTGCAGATGAGAGTCTGCCCCCTTTCCACTCCCTGCACTCTTCCTGGGCAGGAGATGATAATGTGCTCAAAAGCCGCTACACTGGGAATCAGGAGACCCGAGTTCCCATTCCAGCTTTATGGCCTGGGCATGGTTTTTACCTGCTGTGGCCCTGCTGAGCTCACCTGCACAGGAAGGGGTCCCCTTGGAGGGATGTGAGCTCCACGCCCAAGGGGTGGCTTTTCTAGGGTGGGGCCTGTGGGGATTTCCAGCTGAGAAGGAGCCAGGAAATGTGGTTCCCAAGTGTGAGGACACTCAGGCTTCCGGAGCCCTCCCACTTCAGCTGCATCCTTGCTTCTTCCCAGTAATGAGCCTGGGGCTGGGCACATCCTGTCACTTCCAGGAACTGGCTCCCTGCCCCTCTGCTGCCCGTCCCAGTGCATCTTTATCCAGAGACATGTGCTGGCCTCTGGGACCTCCTGGACTCAGGTTCCCGGATGTGCCCTGCTTCCTCTCTCCCCCTAACTGCCACCCCCCCCCGCCCCCCAGGCCTCAGCAGAGAGGCCATACCCTGAGAAAGACCACACTTTCCTGGCTCCCCAAGCAGGAGAGACCATACAAGAATAGGGAAAGAATGGAATGCGACAGGAGCTGAGGAGGGCAGAAGTCCCTGGAGGCAGGGCTGTGCACTGTACAACCGCAAGGGAGGCCATTCACATAGACCACCCCTGCATTGTTTAACAGGCAGCCCTGGCTGGCAGATAATGGGGAAAGAAGGGAGCTCACTGTGATCCAGGCCCAGAGCTGATGTCTGTGTTTCCATTACCATCTGTAGACCTCACAAGGTCATGTGATGGGTATCATTATCCCTTGTCACACAAGGGGACACAGGCTCAGGGAGAAAACGTGACCTGTTAGGACCCATCCTAGTTCTAAAACCCATGGCTCAGGAACTCGCAGTCCAGTGCTCTCAGAAACCCTAGAGGCCGGAGCCCTCTCTGGACCTACTTGTCAGGCTGCATGGCCTTGCATGATGTGACCCCCCCACCCCCCGGCTCCCTCCTGACCCCCAGGCGGTTCAGACTGAGAAGCTGTGGCTCTCCTGAGCCTTCCTTGAGGAGACCCAGGCTGCCAGTGTGAAACAGTGAAGCTCCTTTAGGCCTAAACTCAGGGGAACCCCCAGTGAAACTGGGGTGGCGGTGGGGAGGGGCTGGTAAGGAGGGAGGGAGTGTTTAGGGAAGCACATAGAAGCCAGACAGAGAGCTGCCCAACCTCCCCTCCACGGGGCTCGGGCAGAGCACCGCGGGGCTCACGAAGGCCCGGAGGAGAGGGCAGGCGAGCCTCTCTTCCCAGGGCCGTGGGTTCTAGGTCTCCAGACAAGCTCCTCCTCAGCCCCTGCACCGCCAGACAGCCCAGAGCTAGGGAGCCCGAGCCCAGCTCCCCAGACTCCCTCCGTCGATATCTGCTGATTACACGGTGTGGTAACACAGGCCCCTCCTGCCTGGCTGCCTTCGTTACCCGCCTTGTCCCCGGTGTCGCCTCCTCAGTGAAATGGGGGGAGGCGGGGAGGCGGGGCTTTCCTACTGGGGCCTCGGCCCGGCCCTCGTCCCTCCTGCTGCTGCATGAAGTCCTGAGGCACCGGCTCTGTCTTTGCTGCAGGACAGACCAGGGTCCTCAGGGCCTGGAGCGGGCTGCGGACCTGAGGGCCCCTCCCGCTGTCTTCCCCATCCACCTGCTGCCAGGCCTGGCTGCACCCACTCACAGGCCATGCCCCCGTGGGGCCGAGCTCGGTGCACAAGGAGGCACATGGGCCTCCTTGGCACAGCCATGGGGCACTGGCCTGTTGCCCGCAAGGCAGTGGGCTCTCCTCCCCGGGGCCCAGGAGCCTAGGGTTCAGCAGGTGCCGGCCCATGCAGGCCATGCCGTTGGAGGAGGGGGCTTCTGGGCCCCATCACGGTGGCCCAGACATGCCACAGGACAGATCTGGGCTGGCAGCAGAGCGCAGTGGGCCAAGGCCCATGCGGGAGGGCAGTAGACAGTCACCTAAGGCCACTGCCCAGAGAAACCTGCCAGTCCCAAGCCCTTCCTTCCCGGAGGCTGCCTTCTGCGTGCAGACTTGGCTCCAGCCCAGCTCCTAGCTCCAGGCCTGGGGCGGGAGCAGCTTCCCTGCTTTGCTTGCCGGAGACACAGAAAGGGCAGGGGGCTACCCAGGGCACACAGCAGGCTGTGGCAGGAGAGGCTGGGGTGGGCGGCCAGGAGCCAACGTGAGTTTTGGACAGCATCACTGAGCATTCTAGAGCTAGAAAAGACCAGTGATGATGATCTGTTTACTTAGGTTTACTGAGCACTCGCTGTGTGCCCGGCAGGGCTTGCAGTGTGCCTGTATTTAATCCTCAAACAACCCTAGAAGATAGATGGAATCAATTCCCCCTATTTTACGGGTGCATAACTGAGAACCCTGCCCAAGCTCGCTCAGCTAGGACGTGGCAGAGGTAGGCTTAGCTCACTGGCCGTCTGGCACCCGTGTTCCGTCTCCTCGCTGCCGTGCCCAGGGATGTCCCGGTGAGCAGTCTCCCCATATCTGTCCGGAGTGAACAGTTTTCAAAGTGCTGTTACATACCCAGCTCCCTACTCTCCCGCCCCAGAGCATGCTCCCATCCTCACGTTCCTGGGCTGAAGCTCTCTGCAGGCATTCGCCCTCCCTGCAGACAGCAAGCTCCCCAGGCCGGGGACTATGGGAACTTCAGAAGCAAACGAGGGTCTGGCCCACAGTCGTGCCTCTCGCAGGATGAATAAACCCGATGAAGTAAGCCAGATGTTGATGTCTCCTTTTACAAATGAGAAGACTGAGGCCAGCTGTCTCCTGAGCGAGGCCCAAACTGTCTTCTGCCCCCTGCCTAGGACTGTCCCACATAGCACACGAAGCAGTGCCAGCTCATCAAGGTACAGCAAGGATTGGGGATCTATCTCATAGGCTGGAAGCAAGGGAACATACCAGAAAGAACATAGCACAGGGCCAGAGCCAATCCTAGCCGGTGCCTCGCTTACCTCGGCTGATCCTCTGCTTCTCTCCAGAGAGGATGCCCGGAGTGTCGATGACGCTGATGCTCTCCAGCACGGGGTTGGGCAGCTGGGCACATACGAACCTGCACGGGGCGACAGCAAGCCCACACTGTCCTCTCATTGGCTCTCACGCACCGTCCCACGTCCCAGCCCTGGGACGGAGGTTCAGAGGCCTGGCTGCCTTCTCATGCAGACTCCCAGGCTCCGGGCCAGACTCAGACCCAGCACTAGGCCCAGGAGCTGTATTTTGAGGAAGCTCCCTGGGTGATCCCGAGACAGCTGCAGTCCTCCACTTGTGAACCCCTGCTGTCAGGGACACTAACATGTCCAAACCTCAATCTCCGCCCCCAAGGAGCACAGCCTCGTGGTATGTGTGGAAGTACATGTATGTGTGGAGGTACCACAGTATGGGGTGAAATGGGACCAGTGCTCTGAGGGAGGTCAGGGGAAGGACTCGGGAAATCCAAGGTAGAGAGATGGCTTCCCGGCATGGCTTCCTGGAGGAGGCATGGGAGCCTTCATGAATGGCTCGTGCCACCTAAGAACATTTATTTGGGCTTCCAGATGCCCTGCTATCAAGATAGCGGTCAAGCCTTGTTAAAGGAATTATTTCTAGGATTGCATCCTGAAGTCTCAAAATACAAATTGGTAAACCTAACTTAGGTCCTTTTTACTTCAAGCCTTCTCTCTTAGATGCCAATTTTGGTGGAGACTCATAAGGTGTCTTATTCTCTCAGGTACACTGGGCCCCACTGCCCAGTGAGGTGACAGCAGAGATGCAGGGGAGGGGAGGAGGCCAGAGATGCAAGGAAGAGGGAATCAGGGGAGGCTGCCCAGAGGAGGCTGGAGTGGCCAGGGTGGGGCTGGGTAGGGAGGCGGGGGCCCCTCCAGCCTCCTCACAAGGGCCTTGAGAGATTCGGATTTTATACTGAGGGCAACAGAAACCCATTTATGCTGAGGAACATTTTAAGCAAAAGAGTGACTCAGTCAGATAGGATGGTTGTCAGCAAGTCCCGTTCGGTTCATCAAGTATGTGTGGAGGGCTTGCCCCGTGCCCGGTGCTGGACTAGGTAATGGGGTGGGAAAGTCCATGACAAAGCCCCTGTCCTATTGAGGACCATGGCTTCCATTATTCCCAAGGTCCAGCCTCATTCTGGTGCTTAGGCTCTATGGCCCATTCAAGTAGTCTACGAAAAATTCCTCATTTTGCTGAAGCTGGCATGACCTGGGTTTCGGACCCTTGGTGACCAGGCGGTCAGGTGCACGGGGCTGGTGTCTGGGGCGGGGGCTGTGGCTGAGGTTTCCCCCAGGCTGAGCTCCTGGAGTAACAGGGGCAGGGGGCTGAGGGTGGGCCCCACTGAGGGGGACACCAGGTCAGAGGAGCCAGAGAGAAAGGGGACAGAGCAGACTGGAGAGGGCCTGGATGGGGCGGGGGGGGGGCAGGAGGAGGGCCAGGGAGCTGAGAGGGAGTAGGGGTCGAGAGAGACTGAGAGCCAAGAGAGGCGGGGTAAGGAAAGGGAGGGAAGTGTCCACTGCCCCTGATCACTGAGAGGTCAGGGTGACCTTCCCATGGGCGCTGTGATGGGGAAACAGGGAGAAGTGAGGAGGTGAAGTCCGGAAACTTGGCTGTGAAGGGAAGTGAGAACGAGGAAGAGCTGGTAGGGTCCACTCAGCTCTTGTGCCTCTGGAGAAAAGCTCAAGCCCCACAGCGCCCTGTCTTCTGCTCCCAGGGCTCCTGCAGCAAGCCGTATTCTTTCCTTCCTCTCTGCTTGTTGGGTTTTTTTTTCCCCCCAGTTTTCTCTACATAAAATGTCCTTTCCCCCACCTTTTCAGCATCATTTCACTCATCATTGAACACCCACGTCCAATGCCAACTTTTCCACAGAGGCTTCATCAGTCCTCTTGCCTTGGAGAAGGGTATTTCTCTTACCCTATTTCACAGATGGGAGAAGTGAGGCACAGAGACATGAGATAATCTAAGATCCATGGTGCTCTTTGGTAGGACTTTGACCCAGGACCATCTGAGGCAGAGCCCATCACCTTTGCCTTTACTCTAAATACCTCCTATTAGAGAAAGTAGTTCACACTGTTTGGGGGCAATACACACGCAAGCTTGTGGTGTGGACCTGTAGCACAAGGGTGAGCGGGGTCAGCCTGCATCCTGGTGAAGCAGAGTAACGGGAAGGCAGGGTCAGCTTGCCACACACTCCCTACAGCTTTCATTCCTCAAACTGACCCAATGACCCTGGTGTCTGCAGGCTTATACTCGTCCCAGGGGAGGAGAGATGACCTGTCCGAGGTCACACGGTGAGTTTAGTAGGAGAGGCAATACTCACACTCAGCGCTCTTGCCTTCAGCCCCGGGTTCCTTCCATCCAGTAAAGACAATGTCCAGGAACAGAGAGGAACCTTCCTCTACATCCTTCCAGTTGGATGCAAATCCCCTCTGTAGTACAGTTGACCCCCGAACAATAAGGGGTAAAGGGCGTCCATCCCCCCATCCCACCCCACACAGTGGAAAATTCGCGTATAAATGGACCCACGCAGTTCGCACCCGTGTTGTTCAATGGTCAACTGGATAGAAGAGAGCTGGACCGACACGATACAGTCCTCTCTGCTTTTATTGGAGGGAAGTGCAGATTAGGGGGATGTGATTTAACTGGTGTATCCTTCCCAGCTCCATGATCAGGAAGAATTAGCCCAGATTCCTACATCCCTAATCAGTGGTGACTGACTCAGTTACATTCCCAGCAAGAAAGGGACAATCAAGAGACAAGGGTATGGAGAAGGCACTGAGCCTCCCAAGACCCCGTCCCTTCCTTCTCAAACTGCAAGACGAAGAGAAGAGAACACTTAGGATGAGTGTTTTCGGAGAACGCACCTGTTCAAGAAGGCATTGCCAAAGGCGTTCAGCTTCCTGAAAGGCTTCTTAGGATCCACCACCAGTGCGTTCCCAGGGATGATCCCCTCCACCTGTCCGTGCATCACAGCGATGAAGGAGTCAGTGGTCGGCTCGGGCCCAATCCTCATGCCTGGGAAGTCCTGTTCCAGGAGGTACCTGGCAGAAGGGACACAGCCATCAGGCAGGGGTTCCGTTCGCAGAGCAAAGCCGCACCCCTACCATGGGCAGGTGGTGATGTGAGTCACGGCAGAGAGCAGGTAGACAGCAATGACATTTCATGGCAGGGACAGATTTCCACGGATGGGGAATCCAAAGACCTCTGTGGAGGAAGTGGGATGTTAGCTGAATTTAAAATATCTAATCTGTGCTTCTTGGTTTTTATCTTTTTCCCTCCCTGAAATCAGTAATTGGGGTGGGGCGGGGAGAAGCAGGATTTGGACTCGGCAATAAGCACGGGTTGAGACGGAATCCTGCAGAGTACAGTGGACTTTACAACCGAAGGTCCCTTGTTCAAGTACCTGCACAAAGTCAAGGTCAGAATGAGACCATCCATAGACTCTGCTGGCTTTCCATAGGTCCGTATTTCTTTATCTGGTTAGTCAGTCATTTAATATAAAATATAAAAACAGGGTGCCTGGGTGGCTCAGTTGGTTAAACAACTGCCTTCAGCTCAGGTCATGATCCCGGAGTCCCTGGATCGAGTCCCGCATGGGGCTCCTTGCTCGGCAGGGAGTCTGCTTCTTCCTCTGACCCTCTTGTGCTCTCTCTCAATCTCTCCCTCTCTCTCTCAAATAAGTAAAATAAAAATCTTTAAAAAAATAAAATAAAATAAATAAAATAAAATACAAAAACAGCTCCCACATCATACAGTGTGAAGGGCACACTGTGAAAAGTCAGTCTCCATCCCATCTAAGACTGTTGGTCTCACCCTCTAGTGTCAAGACTAGGCTGTGGCTGGAGGTGGCAGGTGTCTCTTTCTGCTGTTCTCCTGGTCTGGGAAGGGAGAGTCCAAGGCCCCTGCTCCTCTCCACAGCCCCTTTTAGAAGTCAAGAGCAAACATGGTGAGCCCAAGAATGAAGAAAAGGAAGGTGGAAGCCTACTGGACCAGTGGCCCTCAGCCCTGGTGGTGCATTCGAGCTACCGTCCAGCTCCAGCTAATGGTGCCCAGACCCCACCCCCAAGGTCCTGCTCTGCTGGCTGGGGGGAGAGGGAGGACTGGCCACTGGTCCTTTCTAGGAACTCCCTGGTTGATTCTAAGGGGCAGCCCGGGTTGACAACCTGCTCTAGACTAACCTTCCCATTTCACTGATACAACCACTGACACTCAGTAGCATTTCCACCTGCCAGACATCACACTGGTCACTAGGAAAACTTTATCTTCTTCGGGTTTCACATCGGCCCTACAGGCAGGTACTGAGCGAACTGAGGCGCAGTAGGGTTATGTGGCTGTCTCCAAGTTAAACAGCCAGTACCCAGGAGGTCATCCCTGGCTGCACTGGAGGGTTTTCAGTTGCCCTGGGAAGCCCCTCATCTTCCTCCAGGACGGCCCAAGAATCCAGGTGTGAGGGCAGGATTTTCTCCCATCAGAGGACCATTTTGACAGCTGGCCCTTGGGTTGTGATGAGAATAAATGACAACAGGAGCACACTTGGACAGCACATCTGGCTTTCTCAAACACACCTTCGCTGGGGCCTCAGTGGCGAGGCAGGGAATCTCAGCAGCCAGGGGCCAGTGACCTGTTTCTCTAACCATGAGGGATATGCCCTTCAGAAGGGAACCTCACCCCCTTCCTCCATGACATGGAAGATTACAGTTCTGATTTATTAAAATCAGATGTGCCAGGCGCGATGTGCCAGGCGCTGTTCTAGACTTTCCGGGGATTATCTCATTTCATCTTCATATCTCGGATGTGAGCACTATGATTCTTCTCATCAAATGGGTCTAATAAGAAAACCCACCTCATAGGGTGTTCCGAGGTTCATGTCAGCTACAGAACTTAAGCACTTAAACCAGCACTGGCACCAAGATACCCAGTCATTGTGAAAAGGAGGAGACAGAGGGCAAACAATGTGCCCCAGGATATGTAGTCAGTGAAGAGCAGAGCTAGGATTTGAACCTCAGCACTCGGACTTGAGAATTCACGCTCCTAACCACTACATGCACTGTCTCCTTTCCTGCCTTTGGTCCCTGGACCAGGAGATGGGAAAGGGCTGAGTCCCACAGGGACCAGAAGGAGGATTAGGACAGGAAGGCCACGGAGGAGTATGGTTCGGCAGGAGGCTGGCCAGGGGCCAGGGCTTGGGGGAAAGTTAGGCTTTGGTGCCCACAAACCCAGGAATGTATTCATCACCATAAACACCCACTGCTGGGGTTCACAGCTCAGTCTCCAGCAAGTGGGATGCAGCACCCAGCAGCGGTTGCTATGGGTGACCAGAGCAGGTCCAGGCCCACTGGCTCTCCAAGGCCCTTCTTGGAACCTGAAGCTGCCTTATGAGAGTCCCGGTTGTGCCCGGGAAGCCCCATGCATTCTTGCCTGTGCTGGGCAGTGGGGGGGGGGGGGCACCTGTCCCACGTGTGCTTGGATGAGAAGCCTTAGCAGGGCCCTCCCAGCAGGGCATGCGGTGGCTGTGAGTCTGAGCCTGGAGCAGGGTGCTGGATGTCATCAAAGGCCCCAGGAATAGCCGACACAGAGACGGGTGGAAAGAAACGGGCTCGAGACGCTCTCGGAATGCCCAGCCTGCAGAGGGCCAAGTGCAAGGACGAAGTATCTTCCGGACATGGGCGCCTCAGATCCCAGCCCCGGGAGAGATGTGGTATACCAGCCGATGAAAAAAGGGTGACGCTTCCCAGCACAACAGCGGCCACTTTCCAGGATGTTCCAGAGCCACAGCCTCAGACGGCCAAGCAAGGGCCTGGCGGCTGGGCCTGCTGTCCTGCTCTCTCGGCTAAACCCACGTGACCCCCAATTTGCTGACCACACATGGGCCTGAAGAAACACAGAATCCAGTGAAGCCACCAGCAGGTCCAGGGACACAGTCGGGCTGGGCAGAGAACCCAGGGCTGGGTAAATTCTCAGGGACATTTGGGTAGGGCTTGCAGCACCGAGTGCCCCCTTAACAAAGCCACCACTGTGTCCAGAAAGGAAAAAGCTATTGAGGGATCTCATGGCTGCTTCTCTATGGGGAGTGATACAGATTCCCTCTGTTGCCAGGCAAAAGCATTCCCACAGCAGTGTAAAAAAAGAAAAGTTAATTCAAGCCTGGGTGAGAATGGCTGAGATGGGGCCACACAAGAATACAGAGGGACGGGCAGGCTGAGCACCCGCGGTGTGGCAGGTGTCCTTCCAGGACCTTCCCCCGAATGCCCTCACTTCATCGGTCCCAGAAGTGCCATGGGATGGCGGCCTTACTCCGTGCTGCAGGTAAGCAAACTGAGAGAGAGGCGGCCCCCCTCTGGGGCCAAAGAACAATATTCAGAGGGCCTAAGAGTGGAAAAGATTTGGGTACAGCTCCCCCGCCAGCCCCTGGCCACATCCAATGCAAAATTAATAAATACTACACCGTAATATAGATGCCAGGAAGTCCCACGCAATTCTGATTTTTCCCATGAAGACAATTTTTCTTCACATCTTTTAAAGCAAATTATTTTCTGGCATTTTCCTCATTTTTTTTGTGTGTCCTGCTTGGCTGGCAATCTAGGCATGTGGCCTGCTTTACTGGTGACCTAAGCAACCAGGGTAAAGGCAGGGAGCCAAGAATCTTAACCCAGTCTGCCTCCAAAGTATCCATGTCCGCAACAGCGGGGCCAGGCCTCGGGCTGTGGCTCTTACTTTGCATGTTTTTAGACTCTAAAGGCACAGGTCACTTTCTGCTCTGTGTTACAGGTATTTGTGTTGTACATCTGTATCTTTGGTCTCTCCAAGCCTTGGGTTCTTAGCTTTGAAACAGGGTCAAAACAATAATACTGGGGCATCTGGGTGGCTCAGTCGGTTGAGTGTCTGACTTTTGATTTTGGCTCAGGTCATGATCTCAGGGTCTTGGGATTGAGCCCATGTTGAGCTCCCTGCTCAGTGGGGAATCTGCTTGAGATTCCTTCACCGGCTCCCTCTGCCCCGCCCCCTGCTCCTGCATGTGCGTGCTCTCTCTCTCTCTCTCAAATAAAATCTTAAAAACAAAAACAATAATACTTACTCTGTTGGGTAATACTTGTTTCAGGAGGTTTCAGGGACACCGGAAAGCACCTCATAATCACAAAGTGACATAGGAGATGGGAGACCGTTGATGGCCATGCTGCGGGCTGAATCAGCTCCGCCATGGGACAAAGTGACCTCAGCACAGAGGAGCCCCGCAGCCCACTAGCCTCCCTTTCTTGTGCCCACCCTGCGACAGGCCGCCTGCCCAGTCCACTAGCGACCCAGCACCGCCCACAGTCCCCTTCCCCACTCCTCTTCAGCCCTTGGAGGTAGAGGCAAGATCCTCCTCTCCCTCACTTCCCTTGCCTTTCCCTCCCCCAACTGTGGGCGGAGTTGGACAAGAGCTCCCCCCACCCTCCTGAGGGCCAGCCTCTAAACCTCAGCTTAGAAAATCAGCTAGAAAGAGGAGAGTGAAGGATAAAGTCCCAAGCGCGGTGTCTGCAACATAACTGGTGCTGCATTGGTTCTTTCCCTTCCTAATCGGGAGAGAGACCCTACAAGGTGGTTGTTGCCAGTCTCACGTCAGAGATGAGGAGGCTGGGGTTTGGACAGGTTAGGCCTTCCTGACGAGGTCTCTTGGCCAGTACTGGTAGAGCCAGGATTCAGCTAAGCCAGGCTGTGTTCTTTCCATGGCCTTGCCCCACTGTCAATGGGAATGGGATGGAGGCCTTTCTCCAGAGGTCCCCTCCTGCCAGTAAATGCTTCTCCTGATGACCTCCAAGACACAGGACGTTCAAGGCAGATCTGAAGCCAGACCTGAGGCAGGTGGACTCACTCCTCTGGCCTAGGGCTGTCTGCTCCCTTGAGTAACACTCAGGTCTTGTAAGAGGTGGGCAGAGTCCCACCCCCCACTCCCCCCCACCCCCCCACTTAGGGACCAGAGGACCCAGCCCTGACAGAAGGGCAGCCACTGACCACAGCGGGAGGACTGGAGTGAGGTGTTGCAGGGGCTGTGGCCGGCAGGACAGACCCGGCAGAGGTCAGGGGGTCTCCCTGGAACGGTGGCCCCTTTCCCTAGTCCTTTGGCTTTCTGGAGGATCATCTTTCACATGGTGGAGATGCTGTAAAGCCAGGGATGAGGCCTGGGCAGTGGGGACGTCAGGGTTGTGAGGAAAGATGGCATAACCCAGCCAAATGCTGAGTCACCTTTGTGGGAGGGCACAGACAGCTCCCTGAGAAGTGTGGGAGGTCCAAAGGGCGCACTGAGGAGCACCCCCCCACCTCAGCCCGTGCTCATACTTTAGAGTCCGAGTCCCATTGTAGAAGGGCCTCAGGTCCTCACCACCAGTCCAGACCTCCCCGTGGAGGCCCAGGCGGCTTCGCTCTGGCAGCCTCAGGCCGCACACTCCATCCCCTGGTCCTCTACTTGAGCTCTGCCTCGGCCAGGCCTCCCTCCCAGCCCACCAGAGTGCTCGGGCCGGCCCCAGGCTCTGGGACCGCCCGCCATGCACCTCGGTGACCAGGGGGCCACGTGTGCAAGGGAGTGGGGGTGGCGGGAGGCTGCGGGCCAGGGAGAAGAAGAATGAAGGGAGGCACACAGCAGAGGCTGAGGAGGGCTGCCAGGGCCAGAGGGACACAGAGCTACTGTACCCGGAGAGGCAGCCTGTGTGGAGGCAGCAGCCAACAGGCCAATTTATTGTTTATTTTATTACTCTGGGTTGCTGGGCCTTAGGCCAGGGAAGTTATTTCAGGCCGAGATCAGAGCACATTAATTAGTTATTAGAAGAATGTCCCTTTCTGCATGTTCTTCCTGAGATGAGAAATAGACGCCGTGGCAAGTACCTATAACTGAAAGTGGATGGGCGCTCGGGAGGCAAAGGGCCAAGAGCCAGGAAATGAAGAGGGGCTTTGTTTCCGAGGGAAGCGTCCCTCGCTGGTTCAGGCCAGGGACAGGAGCTGCTGCGAATCCCTGTGCTCAAAGCAAGCAGCAGGGGCGGGAGAGGGCGGGAGGCACTCTGGGCTACCCCAAGGGGCCCTTCTTCGCTCTGGGGAAGGGGTGTCGTGCCAACTCACCCTCTTGGAAAGCAACTTAGAAATAGGATTCTTAACATCCAAATTAAAAAGCAGAAAAATTTAAAAACAACGAAACCGTACAACCTTTGACCCAGTGATTTCACTTCTGGGAATCTCTGAGAAAACAGTCCAGCGTGTGGAAAAATATTATGCATAGAGGTATTCAGAGTGATCCTGCAATAGCAAAAAATTAGAGATGACCTAAAGCATTCAAAACAAGTGGGCTGGTTAATGAAAAATTGCATACGCATACAGCGAAATATCATGCGGCTCTTAAAAATAATGCTTACCAAGATTTTTAAAGTTACAGAAAAAAATGCTCCTTTTCTAAGTGAAATAAATTAGTGTACAGAATTACATTATGGCATGATCTCAATTGTGTTATAAAACAGCTAAAAACACTGGAAAGATAGATATATATATCATATATAAATATCTGTATCTATCCATCTATATACATGATATTTAAAATGGTTTCCCCTGAGTCGTGGGCTTATGGGTGATTTTTTTTTTCTTCTTCCTCAAATTTATTCTTGTCTACATTTTCCAGTGGGGGGAAAAATAGCTGTTTAGTGGGTTTAATGAAAAGGAGGAATATATGTAATTTGGTTTTGGAGGGCTTCCCCATGCTCCAACCCCTCCTACCCCGCTGGTGGACTCTCCCTCGAGTGGGGGATGGCTTTTGATGCTGGAGCTAAATTCAGTTACTACGTGAGTGGGGAGGGAGAACTCTTGTATTTGGAGGATAAGAAAGCGAGGGATCTGCCTCTCCCAGGCTTCCTGTCTCCCTCAGATAAGGAAAAATCTACGGCAACTCGACTCTGCCACTCTCTTCGATCCAGTTAACAGCCAGCATGACTCAGGCAAAGCCAGGAGAGCGTCTCAGGCAAGAGGTACTTAAGTCTGCCTCTCTAGGATCCTGCCCCACTGGAGACACTCGTCTTTCCCCATCTTCCCTCCCATTCTGTAAACACCTCCTGGGAGCCTCCAGGAGCTTCCACCCCTCACGAGGCCCCCAGGGAGCTAAGGCACAGTTGTAAGATCTGGTGCTACCGGAAGGAGAGGCTCTACATAATGTCCTGGAAGTTATAACCCAGGTGTGTCCAGAGGGCTAGGGAGGGCTGGTGCAAGGGCAACGAGCCATCTGTGAATGGCCTGTGCTTCCCGTGGGGCACAAACCAGGCGAGCTGGAGGACAGGGATTACAAAGGAAACCTGGTACAGAACCTAGGGAGCTCCGGAAGTGCCTTTGGCAGCAACGGGTTCTTCATGAACCAAGGGAAATGGATTCGATCAGGGGTTCTCGGTCTGAGATTCCATGTCAATTTGTGCATTTTTGTGTATATGGATGTGCATTTTCCTAAAGATAGGGCCACAGCTTTCGACAGATTTTCAAAGGATATATTAACCTTTTAAAAAGTTTAGAAAGCAATGGATCAGATCCATTGCTAAGAGCCCTTGTCATTCTAACATAAGATATCCAAAGCCAGTAGCTTCCCACCCCCCACCCCCGGAATCTAACTTCTTTAGAAATCACTCAGCCCCTCAAAGCCGCTGAGCCCAAGGCTGTCCACCCCACAAAGGCAATGCCGATCTGGTATTCTGTTCAGACGTGACATGTTAGCAGGGTGCAAGCCCTGCTCCCAGAAGGCTTGGGTACAAGCTTAGTGTCAGAGAAAATTAGTATCTACAATATTAGTAACCAGACTGTTAACTTTTCTGCTCTCTTTGCCGAACAAAGCACAGTGCTTTGCATGTTGCAGGTGCTCAGCTAACTGGAATGGAAACGAGATTTGATCTGAATGGAAACAAGAGCACCCTGCTTTGAAACCTCCTGCAGGAGATGAGCACCACTGATTTTGGGGGGCCGCTGCCGCCGTGGCCACACTACTGGAGTCTGACTCAACAGAGGGCCACAGAGCACCGGCAATAGCTTGGCAATGACTGTAAATGAGGCCAAAGGAAACCCCCAAGCCTGGCTTTGGGGGTTGTGTGGACTGAGGACTGGAGGAAGGCCTGTCCTGGAAAGATAGGAAAGATGGTCGTCACTCTGGTGGACAATGTACGGACCTCTCTGAGTGCAGGGTGGACAAGCTGACTCCTTGAGGTTCCCTCCGGCCCTAGGATTCTGTAATTCAAGGGAATAGATGACTCACTCTCAGCGCCACAGGCGTTTAGCCAAGCATCTCCTCCCATGCATCTCAGCATCCCAGGTGGGCCTCCTACTCAGTTACGCGGCTTTGGACGGTCACTTAACCCCTCTACACCGGCCAAGTCAAGGGGCTGGATGAGACCCACCCACCCATGTCCCTTCCACCTCTAAAAGACGTTAATGTTATTACTGAGCCATTAAGATCAAAAAAGGGAAAAGGAAAAAAGCATTCTGCTTCTGACACTGCTTCCGTCCAGTCTCCAAGAAATCTATGTAGGAACTCTGCTCAGAGAAGGAAACTGATAAAAAGAAGGACCAGTGGCACTGCCCCAGCAGGGGCTACAGAATCCCCAGCCCACCTCCTCAGCTGCAAAAGACCCCACGTGAGTGGCTGAGCCCTTTGAAAGGCAAGGGAGGTGGTCCTGGCCATGAAGGGCTTGCCCCTAAAAAGTGAGGGTGTGAGGCACCCCCAACCAGCATAAGGTGCTCTTGGGACCAGGAGTTTTCTCACTGGGCCTCCTGGGCCTCAGTTTCATCATCCACAAAATGGGGAGAATACGGATGGCCCTGAACTTCTTCAAACCGACCTCTGGAGCCAAGGGCTAAGTCCAGCAGCGAGGCACTAGGTAGGAAGGGGTGGGGGACCAGCAGTGAAATGGGGGGGGTAAGCTTTGGACACACACGCAGCAGAATGTCTTCAGCGCCCTCCACGGAAGGCTTCCCGTTTGTCCCCAGGCAGGAGGGGCCCCCAGGGAGTGAACGGAGGCCCTAGGCGCTGGGCGGCGGGGTGGGCTGCCAGGGCCCCGGGACCGGCTCACCTGATGAAGGTGGTCTTCCCAGTGGAGTACTGGCCCACCAGCAGGACCATAGGCTTGTTGTCGAAATCGGCATCCTCTAGGGCGGGCGAGTGAAACTCGTGGAAGCGGTAATGCTCTTCCAGGGGCAGCAGCTTGGTCTTGTAGAGTTTCTTGAGCCCCTCGCTCACGGTCTGGAAGACCTCGGGGTCCTTCCGCCGGCGGTCATCGGAACCCAGCCAGCTGAACATCGCGGCCGCCGCTCACCCCCCGCGCGCAGCCCCGCGGCCGGCGCCCTCGGCTCCCCGGGGTTAGAGGCCGCGCAGGGCCGGCCCGCCGCTCCGAGCCGCGCCGCCGCCTCACGCGAGCGCCGGGCTCGGCCGCACCATCGCCGGGCGCGCGGCGCGGGGAGTGGGGGAGAGGGGGTCCCTGGGGCGGCGGGAACGCGCCCGGCCCGAGCTCCTGGGGCCCAGCCCAGCGCCCGCTGCCAGCAGCTGCCAAGGTGGGGTGGGGAGGAGAAATAATCAGCGCGGGGCAGAAGGGCTGCGATCTCGGAAATTAAAGTCAAACCTGCAAAGAAACTGCCAGATGCCGGGTCCCCGACCTGCCCCCGTCCCCCCCCGACCTCTCCAGCCCTGGCCCGGGTGCGGCGAGCGGATGCTGCAGCTCGGCTCCTGCGCGCCCGGCCCGCTCAGGAGGGGCGGCGGCGTCGCCCAGTCCGCGGACAGCTCAGCAGCCGCAGCCGCAGCCCGCAGCCCCAGGCGCCGGTTTAAATGCCAGCCGTGCAGGAAGCGGGCTCACGGAGGAAGTCCCCGAGTACTGGCAAGGCCAGCCCGGCCCGTCGGTCCCGGCGCCGAGAAGCTGAGCAGGGCGCCGCCATGTGTGTGGGCAGGCGCTCCGCGCGGGGGACCGGCGACCGCAGCCTGGGAAGGGAGGGATGCTGAGTCCTGTGGGAACGCTCCGGTATTTCGGTCCGGGCCTCTGGAGGTTTGATTTGGAAACAGCGCCCTCTCAGGGAGAGCTGTGAAGACAGAGCTGACCCGCTCCACCCTCTCCTTGCTTTTAAATAGCCTAGCTTTCCTTTAGTTACCAAGGCCAATGCCTTAGGAAGACAGGTACTCTAGCATCTGGGAACATTTTCCTTGGGGCGTGGAAAGAAGAATCCGATACACAAAATGACCACAACTGTCACTACCCAAACTTTTTGCTAGATCTAGGGTGAAGTCAAAACAATTCCCATTCATTCATTCGTTCATTTGTCCATTCCTTCCAGTAAAACAAAACAAAACAAGCAAAACTCCCACAAGTGGTGAGTGGGTCTTATGGGGCAGACACAATTATGGTGACTGTGGATACACAGTTAGTCACAAAGATGAGCACGCACAGACTCTCCCTTGCAGGAGCTCCTTTCGGGGTGAGCTGTAAGGAGGAGCCGTGCGCAGAGGGCCATGGGTGCTCAGGGGGAGGAGGCATTCTTTTTGTCTGTATAATCCGAGGAAGGCTTCCCAGAAAGCATGACCATGTCCTGGATCCTAAATGATGACTCCTCAGAGAAGCAGGGAAGACACCCCAGACCGTGTACAGGGCTTTGCAAAGGCTTGGGTGGATGGAAGAAGTCAGAGTAAACAGTTTCTGTATCTACAGTGTAGGGTTCAGGCGGGTGGAAGGGAGTGAGCGAGGCCAGTGCAAAAGGATTTGCTTGCCATAGCGGGAATCATATAGGAAATAAGGACCCAATAGTACTGGTATTGCTAACAACTGTTAACATTAACTAAGCGCTCAGAATGTGAAAGGGGCTGGGCTAAGCTCTCATTGAGCATGTTCCATTCACCCTTCACGGCAGCTCTGAGGCAGAACATATTCTTTCCAGTGCAGCACCAAGGACAACAGGGTGGTAACAGTTGGCCACGTTAGGCAAAAGGGGTGGCATTGTCTGTAGGGAATTTAAACACAATAATAAAACCAACTCAAAGTCAATCTGCTTTATATTAGCACCATTCTAAACCATGCCAGTGATAAACTCCTCCCCACCAAGGCGGATGGGTCCCATGCACTGCCTTCCCCAGATGAAGACACAGTATGGGAATGGTCCAGGCTGGACTGCTGATGCTGGGAGCAGTCAGGGAGGGGCTGGACAGGCAAAAGAGGCTGGAGGCCAAAAGCGGCAATAGTTTCCGATGAGGAAACTATTAAAAAATTTACAAGACAGCAGCAGTTAGGATGGGGAAAAGGTGGTATTCAAGAGACTTTTTATGGCATAGAATTGACAGATCCTGGTAAGCAATAAAAAAGAGGAAATGAAGGTAAGGCAGAGTCTGGGGTGATTCTGAATTTTCTACTGCAGGAGACAAGATGGTTGGAGACACTGGTCTACCAGTCAGAGGAGTCAGGAAGAGGGCAGATTTAGCATTTAAAGATGAGGTGTTCAATTACTGGATCATAGGGTAGTTCTATTTTTAATTTTTTGAGGACCCACCATACTGTTTTCCACAGTGGCTGCACCAGTTTGCATTCCCACCAACAGGGCACAAGGGTCCCCTTTGTTCCACATCCTCTCCAACACTTGTTATTTCTTGTCTTTTCGATTCTTGCCATTCTGACAGGTGTAAGGTGGTAGCTCATTGTGGTTTTGATTTGCATTTCTCCATGATTAGTGATTTTGAGCATCTTTTCATGTGACTATACTTCTCATGGTGAGCACTGAGTAATGTGTAGAATTGTTGAATCATTATATTGTCCACCTGAAACTACTATAACCCTGTATGTTAATTATACTTCCACAACAAAAGAATAACAATGAAAATAAATATAGATGATGTGTTCAGTCTGAAACATGTGGTGGTGGAGAGAGCTGTGGGAGCTCCACGTGGAAGAGTATGGTGAAGCTGCAGGGATTTGGGTAGGGACTATCAGAGGTGGGTGCTGGCTAGAATCTCCTCACCTACAGCTCAAATCTCCTGACTCCCTCCTTGAACTCCAGAGCTGATTGCTTCTTTCTGAGCTCTTTGTACCCCTGTTGGAGTAACCACTTGGATTAATATTCACCCTTGGTATTGGGGCACCTGGGCGACTGAGTCAGTTAAGCGTCCAACTCTTGGTTTCAGCTCAGGTTATGATCTCAGGGTCCTGAGATTGAGCCCCATGTCGGGCTCTGCACTGGGCATGGAGCCTGCTTAAGACTCTCTCTCTCCCTCTCCCTCTGTCCCCCTCCCCCACCATGCGGGAAAAAAATATATATATATACATATATATACGTATTTCACCCTTGGCGTTTATGTTAGCACTGGCATCTGAGCACAAGAGGTGACGTTTGAAATAACAACTCACATGGCCTGGGAACAGAGCAATCAGAACAGGCACCTGGCTTCCCAGGGGAGCGGGCCTAAGGCCCCATGCTGTGCTGGGTGTAGAGATACAAAAGAGAGTGAAAAGATATTACAGTACATAAAACCAATAAAACAGCCTCCAAAATACATAATTAATGCCTGTACATCTATAAGAAAAAGGAAAACATTCCAATAGAAAAAAACGTCAGAAGACACAAAAATTCCTCTTACAAAAGTGTTGACATGAATGTCCTATAGACATAAGAAAAGATGTTAGACCTCAGTAGTAGTATCTGGAAATTGGGGAGGTCTGGGTCTGTCCAGGGGGAGAGGCCAGCATGGCCAGAGTGTCAAGGAAGAAGTCAAGGGATTCCATTGTGGAAATATTTCAATATTTTAGTAACCAGTACAACCATGGTGTTATGTACCATTGAATGTCAGCCCTGAGTGTCTAATTTGTGGAGTACCTGTTGACACATCTAACTCTAGTTCTCAGTCCTGAAGAGTTCTTTGGAAAGGAACTGAGTAATAGTTCAGCATTCCTACATACTAGCAATAGTTATAAAAGAGAATTTTTTTAAAAGATATGGTTTATGAAAAACAAAAAAACCCTAGGAATAAATCTAACAAAAGATGCTCAAGAAAATGATAAAACTTAATGGAAAGACATTAAAGAAGTGCTAAATAAATGGGAGAGTCACACCATGTTTAATTATAGAAAGATTCCAGGTCTCAAAGTTGAGAATTTTTTACAACCTAATTGCTAGATTCAATAATTGATAGGATTTAAATTAAAATCTGAATAGGGTTTTCCCTGGAAGTTAACAAGGTGATTCTAACAATACTCCAAGAATAACTAAGGTATTGAAGAAGAAGGAAGAGGAGGAGGAACTGGGGGAGAAGGAGAAGACAAGACAACACCAAGAGAAATAACTAGGTGAAGGGAACGTCATTACCAAGTTGCAATGGTTAAGATGGCGTAGTTTTGGTGCAGAGAGAGAAAAATAGAACAATGACACAGTAAAAGAGCCAGTCAATGTGGAAACCCGATATACAGAAAAATTGCAATAGATATCACATATATACTGCTACAAGGTCAGGAAGAATGTTTTCAAAAACAAAACACCGAAAGCATAAACTGCAAATGAAAAGATTAATAAATTTGGCATTGGTAAACGTAAGCAGTAGACAAAGAGAGTGAAAAGATATTTACGATATATACAACCTTATTAGTTAGAGAAGCACCATACCACCATCAGATAACACTTCACACCCACCAACGTGGCCAAAAATAAAAAACGTTGGATGATACCAAGTGGTAGCAAGGATGTGGCACAGTGGGTACTTTCACACACTGTGTGATGTGTAGATTGGCACAAACACTTTGGGAAACCATTTGGCATTATCTGGCAAAGCTGAAAACATGCACGACCTCCACTCTGCAACTCCGACGCTAGGCGTGATCTAGAGAAACCCCGTACAGGCGCCCGGAGAGATCAGGATCGGAATGTTCGTTGTAGCTCTGTGTGAGGCAGCCAAATTCTATAAACAACTAAATTTCCCTGACCAAGAAGGTGGATAAATACATTTTGCTGTGTTCATGTCATAAAATAAATTTCTTACAAAATAATCTTCATATAATAAAATAAATACGATGCAAAAGAGAAAATGAGGGGACTAGAGCAACTGAGGACAAAACAGCGCTGAATAAATAAAGCCAGTGGGGGGCTGTGATGTGTAGCCTAGCGCCACTTCTCTCAAATTTGAGATCTTGCAAAAACCACAGTGCGTTGTTGGTGGATGCGTAGGAGTTTCTTAAAAGAGAAGTGAGGGAATATAAAACAATCAATCAGGAAAGCGGTGTCCTCTGGGGATGAGGAAGGGAAATGAAATTGGAGATATGTTACACCGGGGGCTCCAACTGTATTTACGATGTCTTTTTCTTAAGTTTGAAAACGGATACTTGGCTGTTCATTTATAATTCCCCCATCCTTTGGGAAAAAAAAATCTGATCCTTTGATGTTCGAAGTTAGATTTTTTTCATAATCTGTGGTTCAAGATGAACTTTTTGTATCTGATTTTTTTTTTTTTTTTTAAAGTAGGCTCTGTGCCCAGTGTGGACCCTGAGATCAAGACCTGAGCTGAGACCAAGAGTCGGATGCCTCACCGACTGAGCCATCCAGGTGCCCCTGTGTCTGGCTCTTTCATTGCATTTTTTCTTTCTTTTTCTTAACGCATT